AGAGGACATGCTGGAGAACACAGAGGGCAGTGTGTGAGTTCTGACCCGAGAAACTGGCTTGTGTAAAAACAGTAAGAAATGTGTTTCAGCTGCAGTTGTCTGTTAACAGCTCTGGAATGCCAGAGCTCACTCATGACTGCGGACGAATGTGCCGACAGCGCCCACTGATGGCTGTGAGCCACCTGCAACAGGCTGCACATAAACAAAAAAGCGTGCAAAATAAAAACATATTGTGTAATCTGCAGGATTTTGTGGCTTGAAAAACATATTTTTTATTTTAAATTTTCCCTGATCACAAAGGAAGAGAATGACATAAAGTAAATGTAAAACAAAACAAAAGAACAAATACTTTCAGTATGAACTGAATGTTGCTGCATCATTTAAATGTTAAAACAGATTTCATTTAACCATTTTTCAAAAACAATCAGATTTTTTGCCCCAGCACAAAGGTCGGGCCACTAAAAAAAGGGCAAAAACTAAAAAAAGAAATGAAACTTCAAGAATTCAAGATTAAGGCTAATAATAGAATTCTTGAGACATTATTATTCTGCCTCTTAACAACGAGGAACATCAGTAGCATATTTAATAGGAAATAGTATCATCAATATTGGTGCATAAAAATAAACATAGAAAGAGAAAAATAAATAAAGATGAAAGCAAGTACTGCAGTGAAAACGCATACATTGACAATAACATTAAAATACTATAAAGACAATAAAAAGAGACAATATGAACAATATGAAAAGACAATATAAAACATCTATATTACAGCTATATTGTAAACTCACTTAGACAAATAACAATAACTTAAAACATGTTTTAATCAACTGTGCAAATGGTGCTTTATATGATGAAAAAATAAAAAGATTGAATTATTATGAAATATATTAATTTCTTAAATTGCCCTTATGGTAATCCATATATGCCGGTTAAAGAAGCAATAGAAGCCACATGTCACATCTCTTAATTGTGTGACCTGACCAAGAAAGCAGAATATTGGCAAATACAGCACGCATTACAGAATGCAGGTTAGCAAAGTAAATTAAAGAAGGGGGATGCAAAGCCAAAGCCATAACTCTCAAAATGCAACAGTCCTGCAGCAACAGCTAAACAAAGCTCACAGAGCTGACGTGACATAGAAAGTAACCTCTTACACACCATCTTCAGGGATCGTCTGTACTTGACGTATTTTGACAGCAACAAATCACACAGAATCACTGAACTCTCTCTGTAATTGCTGCTGTGTCTGATGTGTCTGCTGCCAGAGGAAACAGCTGTTGATCCTGCAGCCTCCCAGGTGGTTAAAAGCCACAATGTTTATATCACCTGACTTTGCACTGACGAACAGCACTGACACCCACTGAGTCATCATCGTCTCTACTTTATGTTTGTTACATCTGTTACCTAGCTGCTACCTCCCTACCTACCACATGCTTGTTCAGTTAAAAACATAGGAATTTAGGTTTCATCTACTGTGGCTCACTCGGTAATTTTGTTGTATGCATGGACAGCAGTTTTTTAAATTTCCAATGAATTTCCACAACTATAAAACTAGATAATAATGCAGATGTTTTAATAAAAGCAAGAGGGTGAAGGGTAGAAACTGGCTTATTTAGCCAGCATCAGTTTACATGTGTATCTTTACACCACCTTATATACAACTTAATTGAATGAATGGTTTAGTGGATGCATCTCATCATATCCTAGAGTGCTGGCCTCATTTGTTTGTATATAAAACCATCATGTGAATGTGTATTATTAGTGTAATATCATTATACTTTGTTTGCCTATATATTAAAAGCTAATTATATTGGTCTTGGTGAGCATTGATCCTCAATATACTGTGATCCCTTTATTTTATTCTTGAGTCCTAAGCCTTACCCGTATTTGAAAGAGAGACATGCCATTTGATAAACACAAATGTAATTTCAACACATTTCAAATCAATAGAAATGATTTTATTGTAGCTCTTTCCTCAATCTCCAGTGGACCATGGTCTGCCTGGTATGTGTTCAGGGCATTCTACAGGGAGTAGCGGTTAAGGTAGACCCCACAAGGCTTGGATGAAGAGTCATGAACTGTGACTCTTCAGGAAGTTCTCCACGTTAAATGTAAATCTGCTGGAGTACATGTATACTTGTACCATGTACCAAAGACTCAACTTCGGGGCACCAGTTCTACCAGGTGAGCTACCAGGGCGCCCCATATATCCATACTTTTAATGATCATTGTGGAAGATACAATTGTTTTTTCTTTTCTTACAGCCGATATGTGCTCTCTGGGCATCATTCTCCACAGTTGCACCTGTACAAGTACAGTTGAATTCACAGTGTGACTTAAATATTAGATATAAGATACTCAACCATTTGAGTTGTCAAAGTGTGAGCCAGGCATTATCATCCAACATCAGTGTTGGACCTCACTAATGCTCTTGTTGCTGAATGGGAACAACTCTCTTCAGGTTCCAAACCATGGTGGAAAAACCGGAGGATCTGAGGCTGATAGAAATTGTATTCATCCCCACATCGATGTAATGCTTGGGTGATACATGGTAGACATATACATTTCTCAATGTATCCCACTAGAGGGAGCTGTTGCATTGAAGAAGCTGAGTTAAGTATGTTGAGTCATAACTGAAACATCACAACGCAGTTCAAAACAAATCCTCTCTAAATGATTTTATTGTGATAATAATAATTTACTCTCATCCACAAGGACATATCATATATTTTTCTACCTTATTATTTCTATTCATGGGATGTTGGAGACTTTCCCTGCAAGTGCTCAGCAAAATAACACCTATGATTTCTACAGTACAGACAGCCGATCCACAACTAGCCAGAACATCTATAAAGGACAATACCAGGGTTTCTGCAAATGTTTTCTCCCTAACTACAAATCATGTCCCTTTCATTTTGAGTTTTGGATGTTTTCCCCTCTCATTCCAGGAATATCCGGATTTGCATTAAATTCAAGTATAGTGTGAAAATAAATGTGCAGACTCTTGAAACTTGTTTGAGTTGTTAAGCTCTACCTATAACGTCTTTATATCAGTCATTAATATTTGTCACATAGGTGTGTAAATTAATGGAAGCTAAAAGCTGGCTGAAAAGAAATTTACATAAAACAATCTAGTTTTACAAAATAATTCCCTGTGATACAGTACATTATGCATTATTTTTGGAAAACTGGGGAAGATTAAGAAGCCCAAATGATTTCTGATAGAACAGACAAACTTAACATGGAGTCAGCAGCTGGTGGTAATGTCTCATCCTGGTTGTATCAAGTCACTGCCATTAACTTCCAAGTGCCACTTTCCAATCCTGTCATCTGTGTGGAGGTAACAGAGCCATCTTTGTATTTCTCTTCTGGAGAAAGCAGGTTTTACTCTGCCAGGACTCTTCGGTTGTGGCTCAGCTTGGATGTGTTACTGTTAACACATCCAATTGTTACTGTTAACACATCCAATTTTTAATATCATTTCTTCCTTTTCTCTCAGGGTCTTATTTGTAATTTTAATTCGCTCCGGTGCTATTTTTTGGTCTGCCTGAAGGTATTTCCCAAACTGACTTCTGCCCACCTGGATCAAAAAATATTTCATCAGCAGCAACAAGGAACTCATTTTGCATTGATTCTGGTGGCCCCTGTTTGTTTCATTGATTTCAAGGGGAAACTGACTTGGTGGCAGCATGAAGAATAACTACATGCAAATAGCCAATCTTCTCGCTGATTGTCTGGTTTGCTTATGTAGGTCATATAGAGGCATTAGTATTACATTTTTTAAATTAAATCTGTTTCACCAGTTAAAAAAAAGTTAAAAAAACTCCTTGTAGTTTTAAGTTGCAATTCTGTTGTTAATCCTTACAACATGACAGTAAGAAGTGTTCTCTCATTTTTAACATAAAATAATGTTATGTTTTATAATAAAACAACATATAAAATACTGTAAACTTATATTAATATATTACATAACATAAATGTAATTGATAAAACCTTTTAAAACTGCTGGTGCAAACTGGACACTTTTGGTCAATTTAGGGAACTGGTTAAAAATACATACTAAATAATAAGAGACATAAGAGTCTTTTGGACTGGATTTTCAGGTTTCGGGGCCTTTAGTTACAAAGAAGAATGAGTTAGTCATAATGCTTACATATACAGAGATGTTTTAGACGATACTTCCGAATTTCCAAGAACAACACAAAGTCCGAGCCATAAAGAATTGATTTTCCCAGTTTTCTGACTTGACTGGCCAGTACAGATTCCTGACCACAACCCAATTTAAAGTAGCTCTGGGACTAATGTTATTTTAATACATGAGAGGCACAAACAAGGACTAGGCTGCGACCAGTTTTTGCTCCATAAATTGAAACAAAAACCTGGAGGCAGCACTCTATTGTATCCATTGTAGCCTTGAAAATCACCCTTGAAACAATGAACCACTGTTATGTGGACTTGACTTCATTCTCAACGTGTTACTGTTGAACAATACAGTTTACAATGAGAGTCCAGGCTTGCCTCAGGCTGCATAATTATGTGCCTACTTTTGGTGTAAATTAACTTGAATACCATCAGGAGACTTGACTCCAGTCCCATGAGCATTGCCCAAAACCTTTGTTTGTTTTTCGAGTTACCATGGAAATGTTGTGCCATGCTCGGAAAAAAAAGCCTGTGAGCAGCACTACGGGCATTACACTTTACTGACACGGATCAGATAGAGAGTTTGGAGGGCATTTCTGCTGCTGGAAATTCTTTTGCAGCTGCTCCTGCTCCAGCTTTATTCTTATGTATATTTTCCACAAGCAGCTTCAACTGGCTGGTTCCTGCTGTACAGATGAATGAAACCAGTCACCAAGTATCTACAGTGAATCATCACACAATTAGGGTTAGCTATGACTCAATATCACAAGTAAAAAGGAACAAAAAATCTACTGTTAATATTGGACTTTCAGGGAGAAGCAGTGATGACTGTAGAACTGCAGATGAAACAAACAAACAGATTCACACTGGATTATATTAATTTTAATGTGCACAGCGTGATATTGTACAGTAAAAGCAAGGAAGGGAAAACAAATATTTTCTTATAAAAATATCACCTTTAGAGCTTAAAAACACTCAATTCAAAGAACAGGTGCTATGAGTTTACCATCCCTGTGAGAAGACAGCAGGTAGACTGAAGATGATGGAGTCAGAGGGAGCTTAATGTCTCAGTAAAACACAACCCCCCCACCCCATCCCAGAAACCCCACCCAACCATCTCTCCGTTCACCCATCTCTGGAGTGGGAGGCATCAGTCCACAGTCAAGAAGCAGGGCAGCAGAACAAACTAATGAGGGTAAATTAAAAAAGACAAAAAAAGGGGAGGGTGCAAAATTATGGCCAGATGACAAATAAAAAATCTTAAAATCACACATTCCACCTCACATTGTCCAATTCCAATGCATTAACCTGTGTAAGTACCACAGTGCGTAAGAAAAGTCTCCACACAAGCTTGTAACTGCACATCCGAAGTGCAGAGTGTGCAAAAGTGACTACTAGTATATACCTTTGCAAATATAGAAGGGAGATCTTCATGTGCTATTCACTAACAATACTTACCCATAGATTAGTGCACTGGATTGAGGCCATGGCCTGTAAAGTCTTTTCTGCATAGACACCCATACAGTGCATACAGGATATTAAAACAACAGTATTGAAGTTAACCCCTCAAAGTTCTTCATATTCATAGTGTAGAAAAAAAAGCATTCACTTTGGAGCTATGGTGATGTGCATTTAAAAGAAGTGAGCTTCACTGAAAAAATGAAAAGCCTGAATTGATCAGAAAACCCACATTGGAGTAAAAAACAAAACAATAGTTCAATAGTGTGTGAAATTCTCTTTCACACACTCGTGTCACTATGAGGATAATGGTGATAAAGGTGTAAAGTAATAAGCTGATGCACAGAGCGAGTGAGCTGAGAGGCAGATCACTTCTGCATCAAAAGGCTGCGTGGCGGGAGCGTGGCGGTGGCGGACGGCGAGTTGCTGGCAAGGCGATGCAGGTGCATGCAGGAATGAGGGCAGGTTCAGTGTGTCAGACTGCTGGAAAGCTGGGCGAAGGGTGGGGTTGAGGCGTGGATGGTTGGATTTTGGTGGGCTGGAGGTCATGGGGGGCAGAGAGAGGGGGGGGGTTTCTGTGCTGTTTGGCTTGTCGGGTTGTTTTGTTTTTGCTGAGTCAGACAGAATTTGGCAGCGCTCACTCTTTCTCTCTGCTTTGACCTTCCCAACCGCCGACATCCCACCATCCTGCCCTGCCCAACGGCTCCAAAAAACAAACACAAGTAAGCGCGAGAGAAGACAGCGATACACCCTGACATCCCCTCTTCACATGAATCAATCAAAGTGATAAGCTCTCCACAGAAATGGTAAGAATGGAAGGAATTTACATCATGTGGCAAAACTAACAGAAAACAGATATGGAGCTTGATTGCTTGCTTGAAAAGTTAACAGTGAGGAATAAAAAAAAAAACTAGAGAACACAAACAAAACAACGAAAACCCCGGAGAATGACCCTTTGATTTCCTGTGCCCACCCGTTTGGTTACACCAACACTGGAGAAAAAAACAACTGGTGGAAAAAGGCAGAGTCAGGTGCCATGTGACCACGCCCTTTCACTTCCAAACAACCTCCACCCAGCTCTGGAAAAGTCTCACCTCTCATTTTCCAGAGGTTTCTCTTCTTCTTCTTTTCTGTTCTGACTTTTTCCTCCATCTGTGTGGCTCTAGCCCTCCCATCCTCCCTCCCCTCTTTCCGTTAATCCTCCTCCTCCTCTTTGCAGATGCTACACCTCCTTGGTTGTGCGGATTCGGATGCTGCTGAAGCACTTGCCCATGGCCTCGAACAGCGGGTCGCAGAAGGTGTGCACGCAGATGGAGTAGACGCGACTGACGCAGTGGATCTCGATCAGGTAGCTCTTGACGCACGGCACCACGGCCCAGATGTGTATGAAGGACAAGATGGCAAAGAAGATTCCCCAGATTAGTGCCAGGGGGATGCCGACCAGCGCCGTCAGCAGCCGGTAGCACCAGTACTTGGTCACAGTGAAGGTGGTGAAGCTTGCTTTCCACACGCCGTCGAAGCTGTAGGTCCCTGCAGGCTCGGCGATGACGTCCTCAAAGTCTACCTGAAGAGGGAAGAAGTGGAAGAGTGTGAAAATGTTGGCAAAAACAGTTCAGACAGATCTATAGAAAGTCTCTCTAGGCTTATCATAGATGTAAAGTATAATAGTTTATTGTTTATTTGGATCCAGGAATGTACCATTTAAAGCAAATGGTTATACAAATAGATTGACCAGCAGTAAAGACTCTATGGGAGAACGAACAAACACATACATAAACGTTAGGACAGAGCTGCAGAGTAATAGTGAGAAATGTCAGGTTGTAATGGCTGCTGTACACCTGAATGAATATGATTGGATGCTTCTTTCAGCTGGTAAATGAGCAGCTGATAAATTAGCCACTGATGATGTAGCAGGAATAAAACAGCTGATGCCAGTCAGCAAATGCAATGCCATCTTCTTTCTGTTGAGTTGATCAAATGTATTTTTTTAACGCTTAAAGCAGGAAATACTAAATGTAATTCACTTCCCTTATCTTTGAGTGGCAGCAAGATTCTTATAGATATATTAAATATATTAAAACATTGTCATATTAAACTGAAACTCCCATGGATCTAACATGGAAGGTAAGTAAGAAAATATGGTCTAAGTATTGAAAGTGAAAACAAAATATAAGTACACTTATATGTACACTTACACTTACACGTAAAAGCTCTGTCCAGTATACCGAGAGCACCACCACATTCACATTAGATTCTTCATTCTGACTCGTCAAATACCTTCATCCACTGCCAACAATATTTCACAAGAGCCCTGATATGGTGCTAATGAAACCATCACTTTATAACTTTATAGTCCTTCAAATGTGAACTCATTATTTCCACATAAATCAGCTGCTTCACTCCCTGTTATAATGTCAGTTTGCTAAGATGGAGGGTGGGAATCCTGACATGATTCACATCTCCGCTCGCAGTGACTGGTACACAGTCTAACCACCCAAAAACTGCCCCGCCCAAAATACTGATCACTACACACACCATCTCCTGCATCTGCTTCACTTTCTGCAATTTAACTTGAAAATGTTTGTCTCTGGAGCAGGGGTGGATCTGTGGGGCGTGGCTTCTGGGGCTCTAACCCCGAATGTTTTCTCAGAAGCCCTAACTGGGAGCCATTTTCTCTCAGTGTACTGGGGAAAACTTGTCATCTATTACAGTATATGGCATGGCTTCACATGTAGCACACTGGTCAGCTAAACATTCATTCTGTGAACTTACTCCAGCATAGTTCTACCTAAATAGTTTTCAAGATTAATAATGCTCTTTACACCGAAGATAGATAGATAGATAGATAGATAGATAGATAGAAGATAGATAGATAGATAGATAGATAGATAGATAGATAGATAGATAGACCAGTTGCTAAATGGATAAAATAGATGTCCTTCAGAGGGTGAATTTGGACCAACATGGATAGACTAAACAGTACAATTCTGAGCTATTCTTAAGTTAAAGGATGGCCACAGATGGGCCAGATCTAGCAAATAAAAAATTGTCAGCACTTCGCCTGCTTAGTGGTTTAAAGACACCATGTCACTATTTGATATCCAAATAGTCATCAGGCTAAATGTACTTCCTAGAAGCTTTTACATCCGCAATTGTAAACACTCCATGTGTGGTATGTCTTTATTAGGAGAAATTCTGTGGTGCACAGGAAGTGATGGAGTTTTTATAGGATAAACAGAAGGAAAACTGCACAGTTAGTGCGACCACTTGTCGTCACCTCCATTATACAAACAGCAGAAATAGTGATACCTACAGAAACTCAAAGGTCATCCATAGAAAATCCAGTACCGCCCACAGTGTTTAATTGACAAGGTTCTCCTCCTCCACCTCCCATTAAGATGAAGAAGAACATTGCCTGTCTCTTCATTGTAAACATGTCACTTAGGCCTCTAAATGGGACAACCCCTGCAAGTGTCCATGACCTAACCTAATGAACAGAGGGGAAAAGTGGCAACCTTCACAGTGTAAACACAATGTAGACTCTCCCTCTCTCCCATCCTCTCCACAGGCTTCTGAGCACAGAGTCAATATTTATTTTACAGTTACTTGGAGACTGTGTCTTGTCTAACAGAACAGTTGGGCTACTGAGGTCTAATGGCTGCAATATCAATAAGTCACACAGGTATTATCCAGTGTCACACTGGCAGTGAAATGGAAAAGTGAAGTGTTTCATTCCTAAGTGAGATCCTATCCACTGTTTGGAAGCCTTGATGCTCACTTACACAAGCTGACTGTTGGCATCAAAGAAAAGCACATCATGATTTACTTTTACCATTTTAGATCTCTGAAAAAGAACTTTATCTGTTAATTGATGATACTTATCTCTATTTTTAGGAGTATGGTCTAGACCTGCTCTATGTGAAAAGTGTCCTAAAATATCATCTGTTATGATTTGGCGCAAGACAAATAAAATTGAACCGAATTGAAAAGTAGGATTAGGAAAATGGAATCAAATCCTATTTTTTGTTGTGCCACAAATCCATGTTTGAATAGATATATCTATAATCATTTAAAGGGGATAAGACTACAATGCTCACCACTTTATTAATGCAATAGTTACAAATTTGTCCATTTCTTGCCCATTGTAAATTAGAAGATTGAAGCAGTCTCATACCAGTCTGTTAAATATTAAGCAGGATCCAGCAGCCAGTTAGCTTAGCTTAGTTTACAGATGGAAACTAGGCAAGAAAGCGAAAGTACATTTCCCAAAAAGTAAATAAATTAAAAATAAACCACACTTTTAAGAAATTTCAAGAAATGAGTGTCTGCATGTTGAAACGAGATAGAATATGGCAAGTTTTTGCACTAAAAATAAAGACATTTTAACTTATTGATGGTTTAAAAAAACCCTTTTAGAAACATTTAATTGAAGCTCACATTTGAGGACTTGATGAGAAGGATATTTTGTAGCGCAAAAATGACAAAACATTCTACTCACATATAAAATGAAAATTGCATTAATAATTCAATATGAACAATGCTAATCTAACATAAATATGTTATATACTGTCATAAACACATATCATTCCTTGAATTTCAAAATCCTTAAAATATAGTGACTGCAGACTATATAACACATCTTAGAGCTTTATTTCATGCGGTTATTCATTATGTAATAAAAAATTGTCATGTTTTTCCAATCCTGGATGTGTTATTTTGGAACATTAAATATGCTAACAGTGTATTTTTTGCCATGAAACAGCAGCTTGTAAGTCCAATTCTTTTACTGCGAGCATGCAGCATAAAGCCTCTCACACGGCACCAACTGGTGAAACTCTCTACAGCCATATAATATAAATCTGACTGAAGCCACAAAACCAGCGCAGCGTCCATTTAGTTTTTCCACAGCTACAAATTTTAAAGTGGACCCACTCTGCTCCAGATTCCAGAACTCTTATTGAGACTAAATGAAGGCCTTCTGCAGAGAGACACAAACACAACCACAGCAGGATGGTGGAGACTTCTGACTTCATGAAGTGAAGCTGTTTGGTTTTATTTTTTCTTTCCACAGTTTTAGTTTTCTAAATACTGTTCTGTATGCAACATTATGAGAAAAATCATCATCGTTACCCTAGATTTGGCACTTTAATATCCAGTCCATAAACAAAAATCACATCACCTTCACTTCCAGCAGTGTCAGAAATGGTTTGATTGTTTTGCTACTTCACATTTCAGAGGCTTTTATTATGTTATTTGTTGTTTTATTATTGTTAATTTGGATTTTGGCAAGCAAGTGATAAATATGACCCAGAACAGTCCATTTACTCTGACTCTACAATGCTATATGAATACTTTGTCAAAAGGAAACAGGTATTCACTAATTGAAAAACAATAACAGATACAGTGTGAAGGATACAATGTGACTTCTGTGAGGAAGGTCACAGAAGTCCACAATTTCAGGCTGAATCAGGAAGATTTAGTTATTGAATGAAGAAATTCGATAATGATGACCAACTATAAGCATCTACAGTATAAAACGAATTTAAAACACAAAACCTTGGTGTAATTCTACTGCAGCAGCCCAGTTGTGCTGGGTAAAAGGTCCAATCAGAGGTTTGATATGAAACAATGGAGTCTCGGGGTCAGCATGTGACCAGTCGGCAAGGCAACTGTATTATTGAGTAAATAAGGCAATGTGCTATTTCCAGAGCTCTATCTTCAGGCTGTCAACTATGCTTGAATAGACAAAGTGAGCCTCTGGTGGAGAAGGTCAGAGTGTAGTACATTAATGAACTCTTTTGTTGGTTTGAGGGCTTTGGTAGTTAGGGGAAATGTTTGGTTTGCTTCAGGAGAGAGATTAGGATGATTGGCAGTGGAGACGTACTGTATGTGACCGACAGACACAGACTGCAGGCTCATTTCACTCAGTTAAAAAAGACTTGTTTTGAATCAGAAATGGTTTATTTTTGGTGTACTTTTGATTCACAAATCATTTTTGCAAAATAATGTATATCATATCTCATGTTAAAGCTCTGAGTAATTAACAAATGTTTTAAACACATTAGCTGAATTATTCATCTAAGGTGCTGTTTTGCAGAATCATATTCCTTATATCACAAAACCGCTTCAACCCCTCTAACGTTCAGTAATAGTTGCTTCGTAAATATTTAGGAAATTTGAATGAATCTGTGAATTTGTCTTTCTTGGGTGCTTTTTTGTGTGATGCCACCCCTCTTTTGCATACATTTTTGTTGTATATGCAGAGTTTTGATAAATTTGCATGACATTTGAATGGAAACCAATCCCACTGCACTGAGTCTGAAAGAGTTTCCTAAACACTAGATGTCTCAATCCATAATCGCTTACTTGTGATAAAAGCGCAGGAATCGTCAAAACCCGGAAAGAATAAGGTGGTCAAGCATGATCAGGAGTCAACCAATCATAAACTGTGCAGTCCCAGAAGAGGGGGAGTGTTTCATTCCTTTCGATCTGACCTTCGGGACTTTGGATCTGTTCAAACTTCTCACAACTCCCTATCAAAAATTGTCTCCAGTGGGGGCATTTTCACTCCTCTGACCCCTCCTCTCTGCTATATAAAGACCCACAAATTCTCCGGAGGCAGAAACTCTCTTTGCAGGGCAAACTCCACATGCATGTCAGTAATGGAACTTGTTTGATGTGGCCAGGTGATTGAGGCCAGCTGCAGCAGCTACAGGAGAACAGCTTGTATTCCTTTGATTACAAGAATGCAGCGGGTGTGCGCGTCTGTGTGTGCATGTACGCTCCGTACAATATGTGCATGCACACTACACACATTTACGTGTGAGTACTGTATGTGTGGGTGTGTGTGGTCATGGTGGATTGCAGAATGAGGCTTGCTGGAAGGGATTCCCTGCTTGTGCTTTTCATTGGGGCACACCAAACATGCTTCCACTTGGCAGAAATGTTTCATTGACCTCAAAACACCTCGCAGCCGTTGTACACAACACACACAAACTACAGAATTCTGAAATCCAGAGGGAGGCAGTGAGCACCTTTGGGTTCCTCACAATAGAAAATAAACCAAAGAAATTTCTCTACAGAGGTTCTTTAGGTTCCTTAAGTTCCTTAAATCTGTATGAAGGGATTTAGTCTGCATTTCCAAACAGTTAAGAGCAATGAGTGAAGTATTCAGAGCATTCACATAAGTAAAAATAGCAAAAGCACAATATAAACATTCCTTAGTAATGTACTCAAGTACAATACTTGAGTAAATGTACTTATTTACTTTCCACCACTGGTCAAAGGCACAGTTCCTTACAGCAGTTTTAATTTTTGCAGTGTATGCTCATGTGATTTTAGATAATTTCACCAGTGTCTGTTGAGTTGATTAGAGAGGGGCGGGACAATCATAAAGCTGCGTTCTATTCTGAGACTGGAAGGAGACTCTGACTCACTGTCACAGTGGAGGAGAAATGGGAGGGAGAGAAAGCAGAGAGAGCTGGAAGGAGTGGAGACAGACGCAGAAAACAGGAAGAGATTAAAGTTCATTTTTTATTATAATACACCCAAAAGTAAAAAAGTTCAAATGTATTTGCTTTTCTTTAAAGAAAACTGTTTATGTGGCAGAACTAAAAGAAATGTACCTGCTGGTCCTGGGCAACACAAATGTGAATGTGTCCCATGTGAAAGACATTTCACATATTTATCACATTTCATGTCACATGGGGAAAAAAATTTGACAAGTGATAAATTCACATTATAAGAACATGTGATCTGTGAAATGGCATCTAAAGGTCATAGTTACACACATGTGGTTTTTTGGACATTGCACACAAAAGTCACATTTCACATAAAACTATGAATCACGCATGTGCTTTTCTTTTAATTATGAAGATTTCTTACATCACTAACCAGTAGTTGTACTTCCTGTATGTACATATATCACCTTTTAAAAACTTTATTTTATTTACTGTTTTTATGTCTTTACTCTGGCATCAACACTTTCTATCAAAACGCCCAACTAAGGAGGTTATCAACTAAGGATCTTACCAATTTACAAAATCAATAATTCCAGTGTCAGTTATCATTTCAACCTGACAGCAGCCGATAAAAAGCAACACATGGACATTTGCTCCTCTGACGCAACTACAGGCATGCAGGGAGGAGGGAGGGAGGGAAGAGAGGGCTAGAATAGGAGGAAAGAACGGAGGAGGAGAGATGGGGAGTGGTGAGGGATATCCTCTCAAACTAACCAGCTACTTGGGTGTTTCCCTGTTATAACAAGGCAGAGTTCAGGCATTTCAAAGAGCTGACCCGTACTTTCCCGTGCAGCGAGCGGTTTGACCCCCACTCTGCCCCACATGGGGAGAGAGGGGCGGCCGCGCTCAGACAGCGGCTGCTCCTTGCTACCATGCAAACGCGTCAGGTGGCTTCCAGCGCGCCACTCCTCTGCTGCTACAACCTCTCTCGCTCTGCTAACTCCTTCAAACAAAATAAACACTCGATATTTATGCGGTCAGGGTGCTCTCTTATGGAAAGAATTCTACTTTCCCAACAGCAAGGCGTGCGCAACAAATACTGAGGGAAATGTGTGTTCCAACAACAGGAAATTCGTAATGTTTCCTCTGTTGGAGCGAGGATGTTTAAGTGCGGACGCACATATATTTACGCATGTGGATAGCTTACCATTGTGTAGCCTCAATGAGCTTTAATGACTCTGCAAAGCCTCTTCCTAATAGGGGAAAGTCACTGAGGGGGAACACGGCAGGAACCACAGGGCGCAATACAGTGCGCTAAAGATCTGCCGTGCGCCTCTGACGCGCACACACCAATTTGACAGCTCCTGCACTTCGGCACAGTTTCCCACAGTTTATTACAGTTTACTGTGATTGTCAGGCAGCACCAATGAGCAGATGTACAGTGCAAAATCTGCAACAAGTATTCTGGTGAAGTTGAGGTGTCTGTGGTCATGAAAAGCGAGAGAAATCTCATAATAGCAGCCCGTTTAACCCCAAATAAGAAGCTCAAAAGTTAACATCCCTCCCTTCACTCACCTTGACAACGTCGTCGTTTATGCGCTTTGGGTCCCGGTTGACAAGGTCGATCTCTTTGGTGTGGACATCCTCCATCGTCTTCTCGTTCAGACTGTCGTTGTCCATGTCTTTGTTGTTAGGTTTGTATATGTTCCCTTGTTTTCGGATGAACGGCGAATGCAGAAACTCCTGTCAGGATCCGGAGGAGGCAGAGAAAGAAGAGGGTGAAGAGGAGGAGGGATAGTGTGCAGTGCGCTGAGAGGGAGAGAGGCTGGAGCTACGAGTTAGCAGCCTGCCCCACAAACAGGGATGGGTTTAAATGAATAGAAAGGGAAGCACCACACCCCTCGATCCAGCCGCAAGGGGTCCTCACCAACCGGGCTGAAATCTAATACCCTGACCTGACACAGCTGATTTAATATATACCTGTGAGCATGGCAACATTTTAAACAAATGCGTAAAAGCGCACATTCCAACTGTTAAACAATTCTCCATTGAATAGCTTTTCTAAATAAATTTTGGATATCTTTGAACAAACTGCACTAATTAGCTATATTTGTAATCTGGTTTGTGAATGTGTGAACAAGGAGATCAAAAACTCTGGGTTTCCGTGTCCATCGCGTTAAAAACTGAATGCGTAACGACCCCTTTGGTCACCACAGTCCTTCGTGGATCGTTCAAGCACATTCTCATTTATACTCACAATCGCATGGCTTCATTAGTTAGTGCTGAAGCATGTGCATGGTTTATGACTGACTTTTCTTAGATCAGAAAAAGGATTGTGGGTTTACTTTGACTTTTACTCTACTTTTACGCACGAAAATGTAAACGTGTGATGCGTAAAAACAATAATCGGCTGTTCTGTTAATAAAGGTTTTAGCAGGTAAAATCTCACACCCACATGCTAATGTGTACTCAATGGTCCTTCACATTCTCCCAGCGTGTGTGGGAGAAGCGCTCATGCCTAGGTGTCATAGAAAAGAATAACGATTGAGACATAGCGCGCTGGAAAGATATCCAAAATTCCCTTCATGAATGCAAATTACAAGCGAGAATAATCAGTATTATCAGCTCCCCGGTGAATAAAACACCGTGTCAGCTAAAAACTTAATCAGCAAAATCAGCTGTACACGAGAATCATACTGTACCTCTTCTGTTTCGCCGTCCTTCAGTCCTCCTGTCATGCTGTCCTAAAGTTTGAACGGATTAGCGCGATGAAACAGACAAGAAGACAATATAGGAAGCCGAGTGGGAGGCGTGGAGGGAAACTGAGAGGACTGGGGCTCTTCTCAGGGTCCTTTAGAGAGCTCTAATTCCTGCCCTTGTAGTGAACGTGACTAGAATTTAATGCCAGAGCTGTGAGGGAAACCTCCGGTGTTTCCTCGGATCCCAAAGAGAGCGTCTTCGCAGCCCGAGAGTCACCTGTGAGCAGAGACAGGAGAGCCACCGCATAACCTGCTCAGGCAGGAGGAGAGACTGACGGGATCTCAAACGAAAGGGGTTTTGTAGCTGGCATGGAATTACTTTATTTGGGGACCAAGGCAGAGTAAAATAACCTTTTTGTTCAGCGAAATGTGGGCGTTAATTGGTACTGGCAAGGTGTGGGTATTTGCCATACCTTAGCCTAAGGGAGACCACTTCAAGTGGTTATATAATAGAGCAAGAAAAAATATACTAGAAATCAAAAAGCAATGAATGAATAAGAAAATTAGAGGAGTTTTTCAGAATTCAGTCAATTATTGCAGCAAATATAGAACCCTGCCTGCCATCACTAGTTTCATCTATCCTCAGAAAATAAGTTTATTCTAATATTTACAGCTTTTATGAGCCCAAATTTGGTGACTTGGCAATCCAGCTGTTGTTCTCAGCTTTACACAGTTAGGAAGCCATGCTGATCACTCTGGTTTGTTTACATTCTTGTATCAACTCACCTTGGAGTGACACCAGCTGGCACACTCCCTGTTTTCAGCCAGTACATTGGAGCAATTTTTAGGTGTGTCTCATGGGAGTAGCACTAAAATAAACTAGTTGGCAGAGCCAGTCCTGACCTCTCTGGGGCCCTTAGCAAAATTCTGACGAGTGCTCCCACTACAATCCTCTCTCCTTCGAAGGTCCAGTGTGTAACATTTAGGAGGCTCTATTGGCAGAAAGGCAATATAATATTCATAGGTATGTTTTTATTAGTGTTTAATCACCTAAAAATCGTTGTTGGAGGGAGCAGGTCCTCTTCTACAAAGTCTGCTATGTTGAACCGCCATGACAAACCAAACACCAGCTCTAAATACAGCCATCTGAGTTTTTAAATAAATATAACACTGAGCTTTGGCTCTGCTGCCTCGTAATTAATCCAGTCCTCACAATATTGTACCATCCAATGTAAACATAAACCTAAATAAAATCGGCTATGGCTGCAGCTTTATGTCTCAAGACAGCTGCATCAGGTCCATTAAAACTCCCCAAGATTTCTTTTTGTACATTATCAAATATAAAATATTATTTATACTATGGCCTGGTGAATGCTTGATGGTTGTTATTTATTGAGAGATGGGCATCCATATTTACCAGTATGCCCATCAACATTTTAAATTCAATATTTAATCAACAGTCAATGGCAATCCCTTGCTTTCCATCTTGCATTAGTCCAGAGTTGTAACTAAACCTTGATTGATAGACTAGATCAGTTCATGAACACCACATGCTCATCTTTTCTGAGGTGCAGATTATAAACGCTGTTGCCCATTGGCATTTATCAAATGTAGTTACGGAGCCCCTGAGTGGCCATAGAGAGAGAAAAAATATATTGAGGCCACATTTTAATACATTCGTTCTCACATTTTGATTAATTCATGGCCACAAGATATGCAGATGTTAGTTCTGTAAGAAGTTTGTTTTAAAAGTAAAACAAAAAATGATTCAACAAACCTGCAACTGCTATTAACTGGTATTAAAAGGATTAAGGTCAAAAAAGTGTCATGCTGAACATCCACTAGACACATTTTTTATAACCTGGGAACCCAAATTTGTCCTTATTAATGGTTTATAATCAATCTATGAAACTTTAGTAAATTATTTATTGACCATTGATAAAGCAAATGGTTAAGATTTAAAAAATTGTATATCATTGGCTCTTTCCGGATACAGGTCCCTTTTGTCCAGTTTCAAATTCAAATTCTGTATCTGAAAACATCTACAGTATGATAAATATTGTTTTTGCACTATACAAACAGCTCCAAGTATTCAAAATCTAGGAAGAGTAAGGAGTATCATTTGACACCAAGTGAACGTTTTGGCTACAGGACGTAGAAAATGCTCTCAATGTGTGACTTCTCCTGAGGCCTCCACCTCCCCAACACAACAACACTTTATTATGAGAGTGAATCACAGTTCCAGGATCATAGGAATATTTACACTTAAGAACTTTAGATTTATGACTAGACTCCCTAAAACATGTAAATGTGTCAGTCAGAGCCGTGAGAAAACAGGTTTTTTAATAGCTGATTCTCTCCCAGCGCCAGTGGTGGAGAATGGTGCTGGAAAAGCTGTGTGATCACAGTAAATTCTAAATCAGGACATCACAAGTGGTCGCTCAAGAGTGACATAAATTCACCTTTAAAGGCGTGACAGTAAGTCTATACATCATTAATAGAAAGAAAGCAAGCTGATATAAATGAATTTGCACTCAGTAGAAGGCATGTGATTTCTTGTCTGGTGCCAACACTCAGGATATAATGTAACTATTTTTAGCTCAGTGGACATGAGACTGATAGGAATGACTTTCATACAGCAGTAATAACAACAAAGGAACGATACTGCGCAATGGCAACAGTAGCAGTAAAAGAAGTAATCACTGGTAGAAACATTATACTATAATTAGCAATAGTAGTGGTAGTAATGGCAGTACACTCAGCTACAATACATAGTAGTGACAGTGGTACAATATACAGCAGCAGCAGCAGCAGGTCAAAAGTGAAGTCAAAGCAACTGAGCTTCACAGAGCAAAGCTGCACACCAAAAATATATTTTTTTAATCAACACTAACTTGCAGTTTTGACATGTTGGGGGAATTTTGCCCTCAGTTGACCCCCTCAGGTCACAGCTTGGCTGTAGATGGTTAAACTAAGGTGAGAACTGTGATCTTTAAAAAGGACAAAGAAGAACAAAAAACTTCCTTGCCTTTGAAACTGAACACCACTGAAGATAATAACAGGCATTTAGTGCTAATGGACACTGTTGTATGGTAATATTTGCAGTAAATACTAATATAAGTGGTAATAGTACTCCAGCAGTATTCACACATGGAGTACAGGACATCACAAACTTACAGAAGCATACAAACCCTTAATGTTTAAAGAATATTCCTGTGCAGAGAAGTTAGTATAACAGGTAGAAATGCTGTGCAGGTCTGCAGGTCTAACAGCAAAGCCTCAGGTCATGTTCCATCGACCCACAGCTCATCTTTGTATAGGAAAATGTCTTATGCAATCTCAGCAAAGTGATTTACGAGACCTTTCTGGCATATCCAAACCACACTCATCTCCTGTGACAGAAGAAACCACACAAAGACAAATTACCTTGAAGAAAAAAATTTCTTTATTTTGGTCACAAAGAACACATTTGGCTTGTTAAATAAAAAGTTCCAAAATGAGTTTATTACGGAGCAACAGTTAAAAATGATCCAGCAAATAAAATGCAAACAAATAAAAGTAGTATTTTTACGGACAGATCCATGTCACATTATGATTTATTTGTGTAAAATGGATATATATATATATATATATATATATATATATATAACTCTTGAACACTAGCTGGACTGAGGTTGATTAGTGCTGAGGAGATAAAAAGCTTTAGCCACACACCTGTGTCTTCCACTATTGCGCAACCTTTCCTCTTAGAGTTGAAAAACTAAACACGAGCATATTGGCTGGCAGGTTGTCAGCAGTCCAACATCAGTGAAAGGATTAAAAAAAGCTCTGACAGTACTGCTGGCCTTCAGTTGTCAGCTGGGATCAAAACATTACATCAGAAAGTTTCTTTGTCACAAAGAAAATCTGTGGCACGCTCTGTCTGATTATCTGCGTTCCGGTTAAGAAGTTCAGCAGGTTCGCTTGGTAGCATGCAGTGCAGTGCTGAGTAACAGGTTGGAATAGTCCAAAAGGCAAATGTAGCTGTTATTTACAGCTATAATGTAACTTAATGTGCTCCCCTTTCCTGGGTGACCACACAAACTGTATACTGTATTTAACAGGCTGGTTGGTTCATATGCCCACTTTGTGACAACATTATTTTAGTACAGTAATTAATTTATCTTTACTTCCATGAAATCACATTTTATTTTGTCTGTTTTCTGGGGAGAGCCCCTGGCACAGTACATTTAGCCATGACCTGTCATGCTTTATTAATCGATATGTTTTATATCAACAATGGATCAGTTGAATACCTACACTGCCATGTAGAAGGTGTCACTTGCAGTGATGAACTCAAATCAGAATTATCACCCAAGTCTGCTGCTCTACTGAGATTTCTATCTGCTTTTAGTTCATTATTTTGTTTTTGATTTGATGCTTCCGTCTCTGCAACCTCACCCTGTTTAAAGAAGCACCAGATAGCCGTCTTCAGCTCTGATAAACCACCTGTGCACTTCCTGACCAGCAGCAACCCGCAGACAGAGTTAGCAACTAGCTTCTAATGAAAGTGGCACATCTAGTAGCTAAACCAGAAGTTTCCTAATGTTGCTCTGTGTCTGATGGATGTGGGTTTGCACTTGTAATAGCAAAATAAAGTGTAGAAAAGATGAAATATCACCAGAATGCACAATAAGTGTGTACCTGACACTCTGCTACATAACTGTTCCACTGATCTCTCTCTGTATATCGCAATCGTACAGCGCATAACAAGTGCAAACTCTACAGGCTTGTACCTAAAACTCAACTTTATCAAAGCCACTGCAAAAAAGGTACAAATCATGTTGCTGTCTGACTCCTTCTGCCTGTAGAAGTATTCCAAACCCTGCCCACTAACCAGCAGGGTTGTAGCAAAGAACAAGCACCTGTCAATTAAATATGCATGTAACAGTGTCTCAACTCAACAGAGGCTTTAACCAAACACAGTACGAAATGTGGTACGCCTCCACCACAATATAGTTAGTTATAAGTCCTCTTCTGTCAGACACTGCAAAATATCGATGTTTGCCAATCAAAAATTGGTTGTAGCATAAATAATAAATTAGAAACCTAGCCCTCCGATGATATGCAATCTTTTTTTTTAACTCTATTGTGTATAGCTTAGGTCCATATATAAAAGCAAATGCCCAATATTATTGCCAATGCACTGTGAAATTAACACAGCA